TGATATGAAACCTTTTTGAAGCAAGTCAGAAACGGTAAGGTCTTTGAATGTGTTTTTCGGGGGAATACGGCGATATGACACAACGTGGAGTCACCTTCTTGTCGACTCTGTCTTATCGAGCAAACTTGAGACGACTAAATCGGGCTCGTGTTCCAGAAATGAAATTACCTCTAACATAGCCGCTCAAGAAACGCGCGATAGAGCATTTTTTTGGCCTAGTGTCTGAATCCAAATCACCGTAATGGCACATATCGCCATTAAGTAGATGTGATGATTCCGCATGTGAAAATAGAGGGTGTGGAGTGGTTGCGTGGTGGGGAAGAAGGAAAAGAAGTCATTAAAAGCACTAACAATATGTACGAGCTTCCTTGGTCTACGCTGTTGAGGTCGCTGCCCACCTAAGAGGTAGGTAGTAAGATAAGTCTCACGAAGTCGATGTGATTTGGCAGGACGATACAAAAGCATTGTAGAAAGCGGTGCACATATACGCAACGATGGTGTGCACTGATCCAATGGTTGCTCCCTAGTCTATGTCCTAAACCGCTAGCGCTCTTCCTACGTGCTTCGGGTCGTTGTAGTGGCATCACCTCTGCAGATGTGGGACGAGCAGCCTCATTAACAAGTAGTTTATAACAGTAAACCCATCGCGATTCGTATATAAGGAGCGTTGTAGCCTACATTAAGAGGATCAGGAATCTCCGAATTCCCTATTCTCACAATATCCACTGTATGAACGCGGTAAAACAGAGAATTCGTGAGCCAGGGGGAATGTGAAGACTTCAAGGGGATGGTGTGTACAGAGAATCATTAACATGCGTGAAAGTCGAATGTGCTGTCACTCACAGAGCTGTAATTTGTCGCCCCACTGTTTTACCGAAGAGGTTAAAACGAGCAGGCGTTTCGCCACCGATCGCCTTCTCCCACAAGTACCCTAGCACCCAGCTGTTTTTCCTCTACGGGAGTATAATCTAGGACATGTCCGAAATTCGTTATCTGAACTATTAGCAGACGTCACGTTATGTCATGCCGTCTTATAAGGCATCACGCATTTCCGAGAGACGTCTTGGAGATGTCTACAAGTTCACGACAGCGAAGTGAATGGTGGCTGTCTAGTAGCTTCGCAGAAAATTTAATGTATTTCAGTGGCTCGTCGTTGCAGTATAATCGACTCACGTATGTTTTTATGCCACCAAAATTCGTTGCTGATCGCTGGCTAAGTGACGGTGAAGAAGCGTTGTCGAAACATATCCAGTCGACAATGATTCCTCTGCAGCATGTCCGAACCTTGCGTAAGCATTTCGAGGATGACAGAAAACGCATGATTACCGACACAAAGTTTAAGGTATGTGAATTGATGTAAATCTTCGAGGTTTGTGAAAAATATAAGAAAATTTACCTTGTTATGACGCTGCATGATCAGATGTGCAAAAACTGGCAAAACTGGAGCAATTCTTTAAGGAATTTCCGCTATATTTGCGGGCGCGAAATAATGTCATGTGAGAATTACTTGGATCATCGATGGCTGGTGAAGAGGTTAGGGAAAGGGCTATGTGCTGTACTGTAATCCGCTTTCGGAGCTGGAGTTCGATGAATAGCTAACCATACTTACAGTTTTAAAGAGATCCTTTTCTTTTCATTGAGAGTTGACTAGCGCTGTTCTGTGTTCTGGTTCCAAGAAGAAATTGCGCTCTTGTAATTATCAAATTTTTAAGCGCATAACGTTTGTTGAAATAATGTGGAGGGAACAGTCACAATGGATCCGTGGATGAAACCCAGCCTAGACTGGTGACGGCCTGTATACCTCCGGGACAGTTTTGGTGTGGTTTTATGCGCGATTTTTGAGACGAAAACGCTGAGTTGAGGGCCGACTGGCTCGCGCAGTGCACCAATGCCAGACACTCTTGTAAAGCATTTGCTGTCATGAATAGTGCATTCCGGAATTTTGACGTCATTCAACTTATCATTCCGACCTTCGCCCATTAAATTAAACTCTTTCTTCGGAAGGTACTTCGATGAGTTCAGAAGTGCGTGTTGAACACGTTGGAGACCGCGCATGTTTTACGTTTCTCTGGCCGCCTGGGACTTCAGTGGATTTTTTAAGAGTCTTATCTTTGAGCAAATTGAGAACAAAAACCTATTCAGTGATCTAGACGAAATCTTATTGCATGAAATGGGAAAAAAGAACAAAAGAAAAACTGAGTGCTTGTTTCCAAAATATGGGTCGTAGGGTACACACGGTTGACAGACTGCAGCCCACATATGGGCTGCATGGGCTCCAAAGTGTTAATGAGGGCCGGCTCTATATTAGGTTGCGTAGGGTAAGAGTGCTCGTACTTAACTGGCTAACATGTTATTGGCCCGGGCTAATACATATATTTCCTGCCACGTCCGCCCATCGAAGTGTGTTGATTTCTTTGACGTTATTATCTGCTGAAAAAAAACTGTTGAGGTAGCTATAATTAGAGGGAGAGTTTCATTCACAATTTTGTCTGTAAAGATAAAACTTTACACAAGTAGCCATGTTTTGTTCTTCATGATTTATGATATGGATGCATGTGGTGAAGTGACAAGTATTGCCGTTTACTAAGCTCACGATTAGCGAAAGTCTATGCCAGCCATGCCCTTTTATCCTGCCAAGGTTGCTTTATATTTATCGTGGTTTGTTTATACACAACTGTTAATGGAGGATAGCAAACGCCTGGCTTTACGTACATTTTGAGGCTCCGCGCACCGTTATTTGTGACATGCCAAATCGCATTAATAAATATCGGCACATACTGCTGAACAGGATGCACGGCCATCCAAGTATCCTCCGTCCTTTTTTTCGGATTATGTGCCGTACTTTCGGTTTTCTTCTAATTACATTTCTTGCAGTTTTTGTCAACTATTCAATATAATTTACCAGTTGGCGCCGCACGCATTGCGCGCGCAACACAGATCTGCGGCGAATTTTGATGGTGCGACAAAAATTTTCAAATTTGGCTTGATACACTACGAATATCTGAATTCTCAGCTAAATTCAATCCGCTTCCATCATCGACGGCTTTCAACCTTTTTTTCTATCGTCAACCATTAGTTGCCGATGTCATAGTTTGCGAATCGAGCGATCCGCTAGCGAATCGAGCGTTGTCCATCCCAGCGAATCGAACTTTGTGGGCCATGCGAGTCGAACGATGTACTGTGCGAGTGCGAAGCTAACCTCGCCTTCAAACGACCAGAAATTGTGCAATTGCAGAAATTGACGTGGCATTACGTGGCATCGATTCAAGAACATCTTTGAGCACACGTAAGAGAAGAGACGAAGACACCAAAGTCGATGCCACGTCAACGCCACGTCAATTTGTGCAATTGCCAATTTCTGGTCGTTTGAAGGCCGAGAATGTAGGTACCCCGACTCAATAGTGGCGGGACCCAACTTCAAAGGGAAGCCCGCCACATTCAAACAGTGTCACGTGACAGTGGACGCTGTTTGAAAGTGGCGGGACTTGACAGTGGACACTGTTTGAAAGTGGCGGGCTTCCTTTGAAAGTTGGGTCCCGCCACTATTGAGTCGCTGGTACCTAGTTCGACTCGCTGGTACATCGTTCGACTCGCTGGCGCAAAGTTCGATTCGCTGGTGCAACGTTCGATTCGCTGGCGCAACGCTCGATTCGCAAACTATGACATCGGCCATTATCCTCTTTTTCTCGGTCTCTCGGACTGCTTCCGGACAATAAATCTCGTGGCAAACTCCGCCTACTTCGGTGCGTGCCCCGCCCACCAATAGCATTTGGCCCCCTTCCTTTCGCCGACCTCTACCCCTTTTTTCACCGGTCTCTGGGACCTCTTGGAACCAAATTACGACACTTTTGGCAAACTCCGCCCAATTATGTGCATGCTCCGCCCACTAATAGCAGTTGACCTCCACTCCTCCACCCACCTCTATCCACCTTTTTCCCGGCCTCCGGGACTTGGAGCCGAGTTTTATATTTTCGTCGCAAACTCCGCCCACTTTGGTCAAGCCCCGCCCACCGATGACAGTTAACCTCCACTCCTCCACCCACCTCTATCCACCTTTTCCCCAGCCTCCGGAGCTTCATGGAGCCGAGTTATAAATTTTCGTCGCAAACTCCGCCCACTTTGGTCAAGCCCCGCCCACCATTGACAGCTGGCCTCCACTCCTCCATACACCTCTATCCACCTTTTTCCGGCTCTTTAAGACTTCCCCGACCCGAATTATGAGGGCTTGTAGAAAATGCTGTACACTTCAGAGCGCGCCCCGCCCATTCTGGGCGGGCCTCCGCCCACGTCATGTATGCAGGAAACACCTTAGACATTGCTCCCTTACACCAAATTGTTTTCTGCTCTGTAGGCTTTCTCCCAACCGAGTTATGAAATTTTTCATAAAGCACTGCTTTTTTAGAGAACGCCCCGCCCACCGGGGGTGGGTCTCCCTAATTCGATGTGACTTACCAATGCACACCTTACCCACTTTTTGGCCCAGTTTCGAGGTCGTTTTGTCACTGAAATCGAAATCTTGGTCTTCGGTACAATTCATTTCGACGCACGCCACGCCCTCTGTGGGCGGGGCTCCGCTTAGCTGATGTGTGTTTTGTATTACGTGAGACCTTGCCCACCCATCCCACACTTGACCCGGTCCCTCCAGGCGGATCCCGAGGAGCTAGGGAATTTCGTGACAGACATACAGAACGACACAGACGACAGACGAAGCGCTTTATAGTAAGTAGGATAGTGAAAGGGCAATAGTTGAGAGCGATGATTTGCCACCTATAAAGAATTTCGGGGAAAATGTTGCAATGCAAACTGCTAGAATAAAACAGTTTTGAGAACTGTAACTTCCAACTCAGTGATAAATGAAATCGCGATGTAAACCTTTCTTCTAAAAATGTCGTCAACTTGTATGCCTGTAACACTATCGGTTGAGTACTTTCCATATGAATGATAGAGTTACAAGATTATTTGACTGCAATTGCAACAAATATAATTCTTAAAAAAGTGATACTGTTATCTACAAAAATAGCACTATAAGTATGCTCATATGTAATTTGAATAAAACAATACACCATGGCAACCTTTTTTGTTGAGTAACATCTTTATTCTTCCTTTATTCTTTTATGTCTCTTAACGACAAATGTGGTGTGCCACCGCCAAGGTGAAGGTCAGATTTGAAAGGCTTTTTTTCAGGTTAACGATCGCGTGGAGCTACTAGACTACAACAACTCAACGCGCGTTAGACCTGCTCGTGTCAAGAGAGTGGTGGGGCGCCGTATTTGTGTACATGTGAAAGAAGAAGACTTCGATGGCGAAGTGGATGAGGAAGATCGTCAGGTAGAGAGAGTTACTCTGTATTATTTCAAATGTTCCCTAAATCAATATTGAATATTCCTACTTGTGCTCTGGATTCTCTTTTCCAGTTTGGCGAAGACTCTGAATTCTGGGTGGACCAATCGAGTTTCTATTTGTTCCATGTTGGTTGGGCATCTTATAACAATTATGGCCTAGGATGCACAAAGGAGTATAGAAAACATGCACAAAAAATCGCTGAGGCTCTTAGTAAGGTATGTGAATGCACTCACATCAATGCCGTGAGTGGGATCTTCAGTCTGTCATTGCGAATCTATGATGTTGAAGAAAATTTTTCCAAGTTTCGAAGACGTTAATAGAGGCTAATTTTAGGGAGAAGATCCTCCGTTTGCTCCAAGCGATGTCACGCCAGCTAAATTACGCTCCTTGGAATATCAGCAAGGTTCGTTCTAATTGCAAAAGCTGATCTGATTTCTTCCTATTGACAATGTAAGGCTTGGTATGTAACACTCTCGTTTTCGGAAGTACCGCTCTCGGTTGGCAGAAAGGGATGCGGTTTGAATTGATGGATCCATTAGCACAGATGTTCAATGAACTCAGAGTAGCTAGTAGTGTGCTGGAAGTTTTGAAGGTGCGTCAAAAGTACTCATTTTTGAATACTTTTTCACCTTTTGCCAATTTATTCATTTGCTATTTTTCGTTGAAAATTTTCACCTTAAAGATTTCTCCATTATATTCCTTACACTTTCCCACCTTGTTGCCGATTTAACGACAGAGTCACCAAATCGACGCGAACAAAAGGTGTTGGTTCGCCGATAAGGGTCCTGCTCACTATTTTTCGTACTTTTCAACATTTCGAAAACGTGTATCACCTAGGCCATGCCTCAGATTCACAAGTGGTAATCAGTTTGTGTGCATCAAAATGAGTTATATGCCTGCAGTTCGTTTTCATAGAACTTGCTTCTTGGCTACACAGTTCTTCTTTGTCATTGACGTGAAACCGTTTCCTTTGTTTCATTGAATCCAAAATCGACAGTTTGATGCAGTGGAGCAGAATTGCTGCAAACTTCCACAAAAGCCTGAGAGCCTGAGCAACTGATCCCTAGATGATCAAATGAGAGAAGTGATGAAAGTGAAGCTTGAGGCGTTGCACTGTAAACCGCGAATCAAACAACAAGGCAACAGTTACAGTACTGGCTTTGTTGTTTGCTGACTCGAGTGCTCATTCATCAGTTTTATGTTTGACAGAAATTATCGGCTGAGAACTTTCTTAGTTTTTGATCATCATCGTTGATCGTGCATCAAGCTTGATGCCCTTAAAAATTTTCAACATGGAGCTTAACGTGAGTAAGATTGTTATTGATGCCGCATGGAAAGGCAGAGCATGTTCTATCTAGCTGGTACCTGTCATCATTCCGCTTGCGTGTAAGTTCCGGAATGAGACAAATGTAGGAATGTTATATATCAAAATATGCAACAGATCGCGGGCTTTCACGACTTCGACATTGTTAGAGATACTTAACAAAAGTGAAAACCCGTTGGCTACAAAAAAATGTGCCGATTATTCCCGGTCATTCTAAGAATGTAACAGTGTAATAATGTTGTAGGGTGGCTACCTTCGTGTGGGCATGGACGGCCCTGATGTTGAATCTGAATGCATACCGCTTCACTGCACCAGCGCGTTCATGTTTCCTGTAGGATACGCTGAGAAATACAATATCAAACTGGGAGGACCTAACGGTAAGTTGTGTTCTGAATGTTCTTCACTCACTCACTTTGAATTGTTTCGTTTCCATTTTCACTTACTTCCAAATTAAATACACTTCAGCTGGTTATTTATGCTCGATATAAATGTTGTATTGTTTAGATAAGTGTCGTTCAGATACTGAAAAGTTTGACTGGAATGACTACCTACAACAATCTGGGGCCATTGCTGCGCCTGAATCTCTGTTTCGACCCATACCTGACCAGAAATATATGGATCATTTCCAGGTTCACATTAATCCTAATTCATAACTTGATCATGTCGCTGATACCGTTGATTTGTTTTAGATCGGCGCTAAACTGGAGTCCTCTGATATGTGCGAGAACCATTTAGTCTGTCCGGCTACGGTAGCTGCTCACAAAGGACGCTTGCTACAGATTCATTTCGATGGATGGGAAGACTCATACGACCAGCTTTTTGATGTGCAGTATGTTTTTTTAACAGTCAGGAATGTGTGCCAGTCAGTGTCGTACAAGGGACATTCATTGTAACAGTTTTCTGCTGTTCCTAAGCCTGCGACAGATTGTCCACGTATGTAACACGAGGGTCAGGATTGTTCGACCACTGTCATGGCTTGCTACTTCCGGCTCGATTAGTATTGATATCTCCGAAGCGTATGATTTCTCTCCACATTTTTATCGGCGATGAAATAGTGCCGCGTTGATACATTGTAAAGATATTCAAAACAAAGACAGCACAGATTTTTTGGGTGTCCCAAAAGTACATGTTCATTAGGTTCTTATGCTATGGGTTCCTATCAAGGTGTGCTAATTTTTATAGTAAGTTAGTGCTGTTGCTTTCGCTTTCATGTTCTACAGTGCCTGCCAGACGAAATGCAGTTCGGGCGTAGAAAGTCTAAATTAAGGGTTACAATGTTATGGCAGTCATTACCCGCAACTTCCACAAAAGTGGGTCCATCTCTCAGCTCGACCAGGAACTTCTGCCACCATAAGGCCCGCCTGCTCGGCTTCGTCCTGCCGTATAAGGCCTATGTCAGACTTTGCGAATCGCGCGATTCGCTACTAGCGATTCGCGCGATTCGCTAGCGTCCGCGGTCGCGATTGCGGTATCAGCCAATTGAGAATCGAGCGATTCGCTACTAGCGATTCGCGCGATTCGCTAGCGTCCGCGGTCGCGTTTGAGTGATTCACTGGCCGCGACGCGACCGCAGACGCTAGCGAATCGCGCGATTCGCAAAGTCTGACATCGGCCTAAGTACGAGAATCGTGAGGGGAGAGGGCGGGATTTCTGATAAGTGGAAGCGTCGGATCCATAACGTTACTTCCAGTTTTACGAAGGACGCGCGACTGTTAAGCATGGAGCTGGCATCTGATTTGTTAAAAAAAATAAACAATGTCTACGAGTGCTTGAAGCAACAGTTCTAGTGGAAGTCGTGTCGAAAATCTTCAGTAGCCCACGAGTGTCATAGATGTGCCGTTGTTGCGGCTTGAATGTGCGCAGCAATGGCCCTGGTCTTAGAAAGTGGACTTACGGCCACTGCATGTATTCAGACGTGTTACGTCGCGCCACCCCATAGCACGCAATGTGGATGACGGGGAAGCGGCTCATTCAAATATGTGCGGGATAATTCAGCCGGTGAAGTGGGTAAGTTCGTCTCCTCGCCCCTTCCTTATTTCAAGTGGAATCCTTGTTTAGAGCTCCATGAACGGCTTTTGCTTCTTTTTTCATTTTTTGTCAACTCGGCATCCGCAAGTCCATAATCGACCGCTATGACTAGGTCAACGACCGCTGCGCAAAGACCAACGAGGGGTCGTATTGGCCAATGAAGGGGGAGAGGTCATAAGCCCAAGTACCAGTCACAAAATTTGAAGGTACCAAAGATGGCAAAGTGGCAAAGAATTCCACTTACCACTGCGACTGCTACTCATAGACGATTGAATGGCGCATCCCGAGCAGGAAATCTTGTTGAATCACTTCATGTTCCAATGGGCACGAGCAAACGAATGCTTCCAGAAGAACCTCGATGGTTCAACACCGCATGGTCCCTAGTCGAAAATTATGACAAAAAAAAGGTTTTCGTTCCAAATCTTTTGAGACAATCCAGTATACGCTACAAAGCAGTGGATCTTATAGATTTCAGTGGTTTTTACCGCTTCTTTTTGACAGTTTCAAACTTATGGGGGTTTGTAGATTGAAAACTCGCGTTTCCTAGAAAAAATCCGTAGAGGAAAAAAAACGAAACAACGGTACTGTTTTTTTTTTCAGAAAAATGGTATTAATATAGAAGCCCTAATCCTCTAGTTATTAATTAATCTTACCAAAAAGGTCATTTGTTTAATCCGACCAACTGTATGTGTCTATACGCGCCTTGGGACGCTAATTGTAAGCTCAAATATGCTTTCCTTATCTGCTAAACTCTTCGCTGAAAGGAATTATGAAGCTGAAAAGCGCAGGGACAGTGTCCTTGGCATACGTAAAAGAAGTCATGGGATCGACTCCTTGGCGACTTACTAACTCCACACTGCCCACCTCCTCTTTCCATGTCGATGACGGCCCATATATCAAAGGTGGGCGTGAAAATATGTGAATGGACATAAGTAGCTGATTCAAGGGGGTCATACTGATACCCATGAAGGGGGGAGGGGTCGTAAAAATTTTGCAACTCAGAACCTAGGAACATAATCATCCAAGTCTTTAGTCGTCTGTGAACAATTCGACCAAGTCGAACAATCACCCTCTCCCCTCAACAAAAGACCCGCGCAGGAGGGTCAAGAACGGGTACCGTTCAAAACAATTTCTCGACTTGTACTCAACATGCCAAAGCACATGGTTGAAGTCGTCAAATGAAAAGGAAATTTTGCAGTCCTATCTGTTACTGTTGTTATTTTTTTGCTAAATCTGTCGGTAAGGAACTCCAAATACCCGAACGAATATATTTTTAGGGTCAAAATCTGTTCAAAAGGAAAGCAGAAAGTTGTGTCTGTTTTAATTTTGTTTTATTCCCGAAGTATATCAATACCATTTCCCTATGGAAAAGCGGGAATAAAAATTTGCAGAAAATCACCCATATGTTTCAGAGATATCGACAAATGGAATGCCTTATACTTTTAACACATTGACAACGCGAGTTTTGGCTTTTTTGGCCACGTGGGACCGCGGCGATTTTGCGGGCGCGCTCGCCTCAGGTCGTTCAAGCAGATTTTGAGTGATAAATACACAACTAATGATCAATTCAAAACCAAATCAGTAAATTGTAATGAGCGCAACCTAACCAGGGGTACAGTAGTGGAATTTCGATCGAAAGACATGGAATAACAATGAAAAAGCGAAATTTGTCAGAACTAGCTGCAATGGACCTCAAAAGCAATTTTACGTTGATTATTCCAATCAAAACACACATATTGTCATCCCTAAGGTTCCTTATCTACTTCTACTACTATTTAAATCTTCACATTAATAAAAAGAAAAAGTAAACGAAAAATTTATTGAAATGAAGATTTCGTATGGTTCAGAAATCCTCCTCTAAATTAAAGCATACGTGACCATTCTAAGGGCCACTATGTTTGTAGCTACGTCAAGGTCTCTTCCATGGAATGAATACAAGAAACTTCTAAAAGAATCAGGCGTGCGCGAAAAAAATGAGTGTAATGGTGTGCGGGGATATATATCCCGCACGGTCCGACATGGCCTGCAATGCGCGGGATATATATCCCCCGCGTTGTCGTCAATGTGTTCAAGGTACAGTACGTTCTTCTTTAAAAAAATTCTTTGCAGCTCCAGCGATATATTTCCCTCTTGGCTGGTGCGAAATGCACGGGTACAAGCTTGAGCCACCAAAAGCAGAAGAAGAGCCTCCCAAGAAGAAAAAGAAAAAGTGAGCAGAGGAGGAAGAAGACAGAAGAAAAGTTATCCAGATTGTTGTGATTGTTTTGTATACAGATGTACCAAGTTCATAGTTTTGCGAGGATGCTGTATTGATCTCTTTTATTATCACATTTACAAGAAGTGCTGAAGGCAAGACTCAATAAAACTATTTCTCTGTCGAACATATGTTTGCAACAACTAGATGAAGTACCCATTATTATCCCGAAAATAAAGAAGGGAGTGGCACCAAGAAGGATAGTCGTTCAGAGCGAGCCGGGCTTCTTCAAAATGATTTATGCTTGCGGAGCACAAGCCCGTGTTCAAATTTCGCTGAACAGTTATAGTGGTGTCAAAAAAGCAGTGAAAGATCTGTCTGTGGTTCGATTTCCCATGGTAACAAAGTTCTGCATGCTAGCTTAGCGTATCATTGGAACCAAATGGCTACAAATATCGAAAGTTGAAGTGAATTTCATGATCAGAAACAGTGGCACACCCATACCAGCCGATCCTGAAATACAAGCTTTTCACCACGTAAAAGCTACTAAAACATGTTATTGTCTCCTGGTAAAGCTGTAATCGTTGAGCGAAAATGAACCACGGTTTTGTGTCCCATGCATGCATCGCTGCAATATGCAAAAAAAAACCTTTTGGAAAGGTGCTGCTCGCACTAAACGTCCCCCTTGTATAGAGGTGCCTCAAATTAGCAACTACAACATAATTACGACCGAGTAAAAGAAGAACAATTAGAGAGGGCGTCTCCTTCAAAAAACACCCAAAAGATTTTGAGAAAGATTGTGAATATATTATAGGAGAAACCGTCTCGCCAGAAGCAGGCTAAACAGTGATAAGAAAATCACACAAATAGGCACAGTTATGAAGAGTGTCACGTAACCCTCGTCGTCTTGGCGAAACGCGGTCGTTGGACGGCTTCTCTGAAAGATTTTTACTCGGACGAGTTCAAAGTTGGTCTGATCTCAAATATTTACCGCCGTAAATTCTTGAGCTTGCTGTACAAGCTGTGGTGGAGAAGATGGCGGCGCAGATGCTTCAGTCTCAGGAACATTGACCGTTTCGTCAGGAGAGGACGCCGTGCTAACACTTTCCTCGCTGTTATTTGCAGCTGCTGGACTAGCAGCAGCATTTTCTGCCTCAGCTATTGCCTGTTTCTTCTCTTCCTCGTTCTAAAAAGTACGTACATCTACGATATAAGTTTTCAAGAAGAAAAAAAGTCAAATGAGTACAAAAAATGGGAACAGCGCAAAAAGACGCATAGTATGTAAGAGAAGTTCTGGATGTTCCAAGTAAGAGCAAATTGTGGGGACCGCGCACAATCGCACCTTCTCCGACCTCTCCGAACTACATAAAACACTTTACAAAACGCGACCTACTTCCTCAAGAAAACGAATTATCTGCTCCTTGGTCATTTAACCTTTCAGACACAAAGCAAATGCTCTGCTTGCACCCTAACATGAAGTGAGAACTTGGCGTCGGCTACCTTGATGCTAACTCTCCATTTGGTGTCGCGTAACATCTTCTTTCGAACAATTAACTATCCAAATTCACTCTCGGAATTTTATTTTTCATGGAAACTTAACTATATGGATCCGTACCCTGACTATTAACAGACATACATTTTGAGCGCTGGCGCCATTTGGCGACTATTTCCTGTTCGTCTGCGCCCCCTCACTAATCCTACCTACTATAAAGCGTTTCGTCTGTCGTTCTGTCTTTCTGTCACGGTCTGTCACGAAATTCCCTAGCTCCTCGGGATCCGCCTGGAGGGACCGGGTCAAGTGTGGGATGGGTGGGCAAGGTCTCACGAAGTACAAAACACATCAGCTAAGCGGAGCCCCGCCCACAGTGGGTGGCGTGCACCGAAGTGATGTATGCACAGACGACCAAAAATGTCAAATTAGATTCCAAAACAGCTAGAGACTGGGGAAAAAACAGGTAAAGGTGTGCATTGATAAGCCAGACCGAATTAGGCCTTTCTCCGGTGAGCGGGACGCTCTCTAAAAAATCCATAACTCACTTAGGAGAAATCCACAGAGGCGAAGAGAGTTGGGGTATGGAAACGATGTCGGTGGAGTTCCCAGCATACATGACGTGGGCGGAAGCCCGCCCACGATGGGACGATGTGCACGCCAAGCCCGTCCACGATGGGCCCATCGTGGGAGGGCTTGGCGTGCACAACAGTTGGCGGGGTTTGCTACCACACTTATAACTGTTCCAAAGTCCCGAAAACCGGAAAAAGGTGGATAGAGGTCGGCGAAGGAAATGAACTTACTGCGTGGACGAAACCATCCACGAAAATTGCAGCGCCAACTGGCGTCAGATGGCGACGCCCTTTTCGTAATTAAGGCACCGCATTACCCCCAGGGGACGCAGCTTCGACAAAAAAAAATAAAATCTGAATTTTGAGTTTGTATTAGTTGCTTGTTGTGAATACTGGGCACTCTTGGCTAGATACTTTTAGGAGTCAGTTTCTTTCAAATCGCGAGAAGGGATTTGGGTCAAAATTTGAACTGGGAATTTCAGAAGGATAGTTCCATGCGTATTCTGGCTTTGGTAACAATGTGTTGCGCTACTGGGACTGTCGCAAATCTTGCTAGGCTCCTAGTTTTTTTTTGCGACAGTGATTTCCTAGCTCTACTTATTCCTACGATATTGATCCCTTTAATACTCCTTATTTCTTAAAGATTGTAGTTAACAGTATATTTCACTTCTGTACCTTCACATTTCAACACATCAACGACAGTACCGATTCGGTGCGTGCTACATGCGAGGCGATGCACGCGAGCTGCAATGCGCAGGGTGTCCCATAAATATTGCACCACTTCTCTTAACCTGTAACTTCTCTCACAATGTATTGGGCTGTCCAGACATTCCTGCGACACTTTGTCCACAATTTGTGATAGCACCTTCTTTTGATGAAAGAAATATAAGTGACGTACACTTTTTTTCGGGCAGCTTCTCAACTCTCTTACTCTAGGATTCCGGTGTTCGCTTCGAAAACAAGAGGGTGGGTTAACACAATATTGAGCATTTCTGGGTGAACTTTACGCATGACTTTTGCCAAATTTCGGAGTCATTTAAAGCCGACAATGGTCAACACCACGGTGAGAGTGTGCAGCAGCTATCTGTGAAGAATGTTTGCAACCTCATTAGAACACTAAGAATTCCTTCTCTACGAATGATCTTGGAGGCGCTTCTCCATCAAACCCAACAGAGCGTATGTGTAGAGTTCCGTCAAAGCTTAGCTATCTTCATAGTCATCATTTTTGTCAATGATTCCTTTGATGCGAAGAAGAAGAGAAATCTCTACCATGGTCACACACTTCGCCTCCCCAGACTGGCGCAACCCATGTGGTACCCATTGCGAACATGCTGCCCTGTAACCGAGAACGTGGGATCCTCGATACTGTCAATGAGTGCACCTCAGCGTTGTTGCTAACTCACGACTGGTAGCAATCGGCTGTGCCTCTGGAAGTTGAGTAAACGCTCGACCATTCTTCACCTACAGCCGACCAAAGCAGTACTTTGCTTTGAGTCAAATATCTCCGGATGCGAAGCCTGGGACACTATGGCCTGCTGAACAGGTTATCTCCTCAATACAGCACAGATGCTAGCTGCAACGACACAAGACAGAGTGGCTTTATAGGAGCTCGAGAAATAAAATAGTCAAAAGATGGCTCGGTTCAGAGAGAAGTTTGGAGCTGTAAAACGTTGCACGAAGCCTTCATGTACGCTTCTGCTGAACCTTCGAAGACACACTACAGTAATCAAATGCCAAAACAAGAAAAGAGTTTTGATTTTTCCCCAAGTTATTTGTTCAAAGTGTCGCAGGATTTTCTGGACAACTCAATATCTTCTAGAAGTTTCACACAATCTTCAGCCATACGATTTATGTTGGAAGG